GGGTATGGTGGGGGGGGGGGACAATTACTGGACCAGATCCCCTGTATGGCTCTCTCTGTAGTAGCTGAAAGCCAGTGGGAGGGAGGGGAGAGACCAGCTTTCAGCTGCTGCAGAGAGAGCCATACAGGAGATCTGTTCTAGGAATTTCCCCCCGCCTTCCCCGCAAGGCCAATAACCCTCTGTGCCCACATCCAATTCACTCTCTGGCCCCCATTGCTGGCCTGGACCCTGTGCATGAAGACTAGTGGTACCCCCTTATCTACAGCCCTGCTTCCCCTACAGAGACATTAGGAGCTTCAGTCAGACAAATCTCCTGCTCCTCTACATGCAGGATCTTTCAGGAAAAGTCCCATTCCCAATAATGAATGTCTAAATTGGAATGTAACTGCATAAATAACAAATCTTTACTGATGTATAAACCTCTTTCCCCTGCTTCCATTACACCTGTTTTGTGTACACAGACCCTGGAGATATACAGCCCTCCAGAGCTAAACCCATTAGAAACACCATTTTCAACAGTTAGTCTCTGGGGGGACCTTTCAAATCCCACTGTCTTGCAGCATTCTTATTCTTAGAGTGATATCCAATCCAAAAACAAGGATTTCTTATATTGCAATGTATCAATTCTTAGATGTGAGGACTGCATCAGTTTTCTTTTTTAGGCTTTCATTCTTTTTCTTTTTCACCTGGTAATCCAGCCAGAATATGTGTAGTTTTTCAACAGAACAAGCTCTCCTGCCAATGTGGAAATTAGAGGGTTGAGACAAACCATTTAACAGGAGTGCTTACAATGATCAGATTTTATTTATGTAAAACCTTTATCCCAAAAGGAAAAAAGCTGTTGCTGTAACTGCTTAAACAGTGTTAGCTGTGTTGGTTATGTGTTATAGAAGACACTGGTAGTGATAGCAGAATTCAGGCTTTACTTGTGTGGCTTAAGTTACAAACATAGAGAGCACATTTCAGAAGACTGTATAACAGCAGACTTATTACAGACTCATTACTTCCTGAAGAATGATAGAGAAGAAGAAAGAAGTTTTCACATATAAACAACTAGTAACCTTTAGTGTACAGTGCCATCTACTGGTCAAGCGATATTAACACAGAATACTATATATAGTACATTATAGTACATGCTGTTGCATTCCCAACAAGCTGGAGTGTGACTTCAATTTGTTTAGTCATCTATATGTCCTAGTCCATCAATCACTATCTATCCCTACCACCTAAGACTGACAATGCTGCTGTCCAAAAGGTGTCCAAATGCATCTCTGAGATCTTTCATCTGGAATGATACAGAAGGTGTGTTACTGTCCAGATCAGTATGTGAATACAAAGGGAAAAAAGCCTAAAAAGAAAACCAAAGCAGCAGCCGCATCTAATGATTGTAAGCTACAATATATAAACGTTTTTTTTTTGTTTTGTGTTTAATATCACTTTAAAGCACATGCATAGTCCCTGTGACTTCAATCCATGTAACCTCTTTAAATGACCTCCATGCCATGCCTGCCTACTGCACTGCCAAAATGTAGAAGGGATGACAAAACCCAATACATGTAAAACTTAGTGACCCTTGTTTCTAATTATTGCCATCATATTTATTTTATGTTGACCAGTAATCAATATGTCTTGACATGCTATCAGTAATGGTACACCCCTAAGGGCCAAATCCAAAATGAGTAGTATAACCTCTTATCATTGTGACATATACACTTGTTTGATATAAAGACATATGTGTATATGTCAACTAAGATAAAAAAAAAACATTGCTGAGATCATTAGCCCCTCATCTCTGTCCTATGTGCATGAATCTTTTCCAGGCAATCAGCCAACCAAATTTTCCTTTCTTAAGCAGTAAACAGAACTCCAATTTCATTCAATTACATCCACTCAATGATTAAACTATAAAAATCTGTGCACATGATTACTGTTATACTGACCATTTCTAAGCTAATCATGCTACATGGGATGGCATCCTGTGTAATGTAGCCAAATACCCATGATGGGTGGAATGTGTGTTCAAACCATGCTGTTATGCTGTTACTGTGAAATATTTTAAGAATGTGATGATGGGTTTATGTTATCACAACATTCGTTTTTTAAAGCAGAATTGAGCTCCTATTTGAAAAACTGATGAGTTCTAAGACGGGCTGTGGAAATATAATATCTAAGATTTATAAGAACCTGGTTGAATTGGGGGGAGCTGAATCCCCGTAGTTTTTGGAGGGTTGGGAAAGATAGCTGGGAATAAAAAGTAATGATCACCAGAAGAGGAAAATGTTTAAGTTAATGCACAGGTGATGAGCACGAATACAGTTGAGATGAACTATAAATATCTATCTAGATGGTATTGTACACCGAGTGTGGCACATAAACAGCGAGAAGAAGTATCACCCTTATGTTGGAGAGGATGTGGGGCAATAGGGAGAATGGCTCATATTTGGTGGGAATGCTCAAAAATTCAGTTATTTTGGTAGGAGATAATTTATCATATACAGGAGATTTGGGGGACATCTATCCAGAAGGATCCATGGGTGTGTCTTTTCTATAAAACAGAGATGCCAGTAAAACAATATAAAAACAGTTTATTATACCATCTGATTAGTGCAGCTAAGGGTTTAATCCCTAAGTTTTGGAAAGCCCAGGATCCCCCAACAATGAGGGATTGGATAGACAGAATAGAATATGTTAACAGGATGGAGGAACTTTGTTACATGAAAGATGAAACGGAAAAATTCTGAAAGATTTTGGGTAGATGGTATGAGTTTAAAACATCAGAAAAATATTTAAAAATGAAAGGTCCCCCCGTAGTAGAATCAGAGAATTTAACCACAAGCCTACAGGGCACTAATACCCCCTTCCTGCCCAGGCCAATTTCCAGCTTTCAGCGCTGTTGCACTTTGAATGACAATTGCGCGGTCATGCAACACTGTACCCATATGAAATTTTTATAATTTTTTTGTGACAGATAGAGCTTTATTTTGGTGGTAATTAATAAACTCTGGGTTTTTATTTTTTCTTAAACAAACCAAAAACCACTGAAAATTTTGAAAAAAAAATGTTTTTTTTCTTAGTTTTTGTTATAACATTTTGTAAATAAGTGATTTTTCTCCTTCACTGATGTGCGCTAATGAGGCTGCAGTGATGGGCACTGATAGGTGGCACTGATGAGGAGGCACTGGTAGATGGCACTGATGGGCATTGACAGGCATCACTGATGGGCACTGAAAGGCACCACTGATAGGCGGCACTGATAGGCGGCACTGACTGGCATTGATAGGCGGCACTGACTGGCACTGTTAGGTGGCACTGATAGGTGGCACTGACGGGCACTGGTAGGTGGCACTGATAGGCGGCACTGACTGGCACTGATAGGTGGCACTGATTGGCACCACTGATAGGTGGCACTGATTGGCATTGATAGGTAGCATTGACTGGCACTGATGGGTGACACTGAAAGGCAGCTCAGATGGGCACTGATATGTGGCATTGATGTGCACTGGTAGGCACTGATATGTGGCATTGATGGGCACTGGCACGAGGCAATGATGAGCACTGACAACTGGCACTGATGGACACTGATGGGTGGCACTGCTTGGGCTACACTGATCATCAGGGCACACACGTCCCCTCCGCGGAATGCCGATTACCGGCTCTCCTCTCCTCTGTCAGCGTGACAGCTCAAGAGGAGAGAAATGCCAATAACCGGCATTTCCCTGTTTACATGTGATCAGCTGTGATTGGACATGACCGAGCCGACATCTTCGGATCTTTCCGTGGATCGGTGATCCGCTGTGTCCGAGGGACACAGCGCACTGCCGACCGCCGCGCTGCGCGCTCCGGGAGCCATGCATGCGCGGTTAGAATGGGAGGAAGTCATATGACGTCCTCCCAGAACGAGACAACTACCTTGCGTCTGTCATATTACTATATGGCGGGCGGGAGTTTGGTTAAAGGGTTAAAAAAAATCTATATACATGACTAGATCGATAGGAAGGGAAAGAGAGGATAAGACAAAATTGGACAGGGTGCTTTTTTTTTTTTTTTTTTATCGGGAGGGGGGGTGGGGATAAAGTGTATGTGTATTATGTAATAAGAATGTATGGCGGCTTTGTAATGTATTTTTAAAAGAAAATGTAATAAAAGAAAAAAAAATTAAAGCAGAATTGAATAGAGAAATGGCTTCCTCTCTCATGCACAACATTCACTATATGATGAGTATCCTACGTATGCTGCATTGCTGTGTACTGATTCTTCATATCTTGTCTGAGTGGCAGCTCTCTCCCTAATCTGATTGATTGCTTGTATGATTGCTCTGAAGGAAAGTGAAGACTAGGAAGACCTGTATATCTCTGCTTGGAAGTATTAAGCCCCACATACAGAGAATTGCAGGCGGGACTAATCTGGTCTCAACGCAGGGCTCAGAAAATGAAGGTTATTCCAAGGCCAAATTAATAGTGTATTCTATTTAACCTTTGTCACTGCAATGGTACTAGGATATTTCCATGATTTTAAAGGTACCCTCCTCTTTCAATTTGTTTTTTATATTTAATATAATATGCAGTCCCTCTTTAGTGCCTGACAGACAGTAACACAGAGCAGTTTATGTTCTACACACAACAACAAGGCATTTTCATGCTTTTCTTTAGTTTCAGTAGACTAGGACTATTCTTATGTAAGGAATAAGTTAAAGTTGAACTCTATGCAGATATAAAAGACATTAATTAACACAGCTCTGACTTCTTTAACACTTTATTAAATGTACATTTTTAATAAAAGCAGTGTAAGTGCCTGAATTTAGCTTGGTATCAGCCTCTTGATTCCCCTACAGCAGAGCTCAGACTGTGGCAGCAGCACAAGAAACCAGTCAGATGTGTTGCAGTGTTTGGCCACCTTCACATGGCTGATTAGCTGCCTACACTGAATTCCAGGAGCAAGAATTAGCAGATTCTTGTAGTTGGAATGATAGGCGTACATGAATAGTGGCATCCTCTTGGCCTGTGCAAAGCAGGGGCGGACTGACCATTTGGAAACTCAGGCACTGCCCGAGGGCCCGGGGTCAGTAAGGGGCCCCATGAGATGCCCCTGGTACCTTTTTCATAGGCTTTTTTGAGTTTGGGCAAAGACACAGGGGCCCCATGATCCCCTCTTGCCCGGAACAGGATGACAGTAGGTATGGAAATACCTTACAGTGCTTCTCCAAGCTGGAAGAAGAAAGAAAGAGAATCGCCCCACCAGTGGATGAAAAAGCAGGGTGTGATTTTAATAAAAATTAAAAAAAAAAAGTTTTGCCTTCAGTTTAAAATGTATGTTAACTTGTCTGCTGGGGGCACTGGACCAAGAACTGCTCCAACCAGGACTGTATATTATGATATCTAGACCTTTATATCTGGCTAGGAAGTTGATAGCAAGGTATTGGTTATCGTTGGCTCCGCCGACTAGTAAGCAATGGATAGATTATGCTAATTCTTTATTCCAGCAGGAAAAACTCACATACCAACATCGCAATGCTTATTGTAAATTCCAGCAGGTATGGCAGGGTTGGCTGGATACACCTGGGCTCGCCCCTCCTGAATTGATAGTGGACAGACTTTTGCAGGTGTGACATTTTATATCAAGTGTGTGGCCCCACTCCTCCCCTGGGGGAGATCATGTGCATCTCCTATTTTTACTGATGAGACGTCTCGGGTGAACCAGAGGTTGTTGTTGATGGTTTTTTTTTTTTTTTTTATTGTTTGAAGGCATGTTTTGGTCTCTGTTCCTTTGCCCCATTTCTGTTTACATCTAGATGGGAAGGAATAAAAAGGAAAAAGCAAGATATTGTCAAGAAAGTTTTGAATCCTTGTGGTCTCTGTTTTGTTTATTATTTCTGTTATTCTGTCCATTGCGGAATCTGCGTATCCACGTTGTTCTATTTATGTGTAATCCTGCTGATGAAGTAATGTCATTGTGGATTCTGTAAATACTGTGCCATTTTCTCTATTATCTTGACAATAAAAGTTGTTTGAATTTAAAAATATATCTAAACTTAAAACCAAAAATTATATTTAAGGCAGGTTACCAGTTCTTAGATGTGATAGCTGCATTTGTTTTCTTATTTTTTCCCCTTTCTTTTTGACTAGAGGATTCAGTCAGTAATATACTATTCTATTGCAAAGCGCTGAGCAAACTGTTGGCGCTATATAAATCCTGTATAATAATAGGGGGAAACGTGTGAAGAGGGCAGTGCTGGATGGACTAATAAATCCTTACTCCAGGTAATGCTTTTTTTAAACAGTGACAAAAATAGTTTCATGGTAAAAAGTTTACATAGGTAAATAAAAAAAGTTGATCATTGTGCCTTTTACTCATCACCCTGTAATTGCCACTTTTGTTAAACAGTTTGATCTGTAAAGGAGATTTAAAAAATAAAAGACTTACTGGCAGGATCAATGGGTGCAAAAGAAAAAAAAAGCCAAAAAAAAAGAAAACAAATGCAGTCTTCACATCCAAGAATTCGTAAGCAGCAATATAATACATTCTTGTTTTTGGATTTAAATACTACACTTTAAGCTTAGTTTTACTAGGCACAGTGACAATTGGGAAGAAATCCCTTGAATACCTACAATACTATTACAATAGTGACATCTGCTGGTATGCTATGCTCAGCAATAAAAAGATAAAGGAGTGAAAGGCTGACATAAACCTTTGCAATATTTATACTTTTTAAAAGCAGCTCAGTGAGTACTATGTGTTTTATACTTCAATCTGAAAAGATCTTTTGTCTTCTGCTGTTTATAGTGTTTTGTTTATAAATCCCTGCTAATGCAGTGCATAGAATTAAAGCATTAGCAATAAAGATAGTACATGTTTTTTCTATTTCTCTCCTGAGGGTTATTTTTGAACTGACAAATATACCTTTATCCAGGCAAAGCATTTCATCTGGTCTATTGATCTCATAAGAGTCAGTGACAATAGCTATCCACATGGTGAAATTAATCATAGAGACCTTTGCTGTTCATATTACTTACGCAGAGCATTTGGATGACTGTAAATCATTATGTGTTCAAATTACTAAGATAGATGAGTTATGGTAAATATATTTATAATTTTACCTCACAATTATTTTCTCAAAAAAGGGTTCAATTCACAAACATAATCATAGCCTAGGTGCATAATCTGTATTTATTCGAATCAAATGGATTTGAAGCTCTTTTCGCCACTGCATCCTGTCTCTTTAAGTGCCCAATCATACCGGTGCGACCTGTGATGTAATTTGATAGTTTCAAATCGCAGCCTATTGTTCACAATTGAAGCTGTCATATCAGTGAGATACTGACTTCATCGGAGTCACACCAATTTTGAAAGTAGTACGACTTTCAAGACATCGGTGTCCTGCAAGTCGCAGATGTCTTGTAAGTCGCACCTGAAGTCGGACTGACATCCAACTTTGACATCATCATCACTGTAAGTCGCACGATTTCAAACTCGGATTGGTGTGATGGAAAACTAAGAAGATCTAAATGCTAGGAGACGGAGGCAGGCATTCTGATCATGTGACTGCTGTGATTGGATGTCACATTGGTCACATGATTGAAAGCTCCCAATTACAAGTATGCCTTGGGAGCTTTCTGTGACACTTTGATTATTGTGCTGGAAGCATGCAGTGAGCGCGCTGTCAGCACAGTAAACAGTTTAGCTATAGATGCATTGGGATGTTACAGCCCATCTGCCGAGAAGCCGCATGTATTTGGCCAGCCAGCAAGAAATGGTTAAGTATGAAAAGTCTATTTGTAATGTATTGGTATTCCTTCTTAAGATTTGGTATTTTATCCCTGCATCACATGGTTCTGTTTTTTTGCTGTCCTTAACAGACACAGCTCAAAAGTACTGCCAGATAGAACCTAGTGATCATTTTAGGAGTGATAACATGTGTAATCAACATTTTAAATTACAAATTTGATGTTCAGTTATGGGATTTATTGCACCAGAATATACTATAGATATGTTTTTATTTACATAGTCAGATTTGCAGATAGACAAAACATAAATCGACAAATGATTAAACATTTTATTTTGAGCTTTACATTGTAAGTGTTTCATGACACATGGGAGCCAGAGCTGCTGATCCATGTGACCAGAATGAACTGAAAAAGGTAAGTATTCAGATCTTTTTTAAACAGGGTAGGAAGGATAAGTAGGAGGAGAGGAGAGGGAACACTTTTTTTTTTTTAGAATAGTTAGTATTAGGCTGTAATTCCACTTTAGCAATTTGAAAAGACACAAGTTTAATATATGGTAGCTTTTGGTAAAGGCTTCTTTAATTTTCGATTGGAGCATTTAGAGAATCAGCTTAATGATTTTGAAAACTCTGTTTGAAATAGACATATGAATTAGTAAAATAAATGGGATAAAAAGTGAAAAATACTTAGTCCAATGTGCTGCAGAGTGTCCAAGCTGATGTAATAAAGTGATACTAAACCCCGGACCCTGCATTCACTATATCTGCTCTCACACAGAACACACAATATGGAATTGCAATTATTTTAGTAAATATAAACTGCTAAATACCTTTTCTCATCAGCAGTTAGAGCAGTCTTGTGACTTCAGCAGAGCACTGGTTAAAGTTTGTAGGAGGAGTTTTCTTTCTGTTCTAGGAGGGTGTGAAACCTCTGACCCTCTGTCTGGACAGTGCTGAATGGCCCTGTGCTGATCACATGCACTCTTCTAAGGAAGAAACAAACTCTAGCAATACACAAAACTGAGCATGTGACCAGGGGTCCAGTCTGAATCAGGTGGTCATTTCAACAAGAGGAGGGGCAGAGAAGAAAGGATCAAACAGCCTTTTTACACAATGCAGATGATTAACCCCTTAGGTTCCACTCTGAGTATAACAAGCATGCTTTACTGCATATAGAGACTGATTTTACTGTTGTGGGTTTAGTAACCCTTTAACCCTTTAAGGTCATTGGGTCTCATGAATGACCCTTCTCAATCCTTCATAAATTTGGTGGAAAACAAAGGCTACAACTGACAATTGCAGCGGCTCTTTGTTAATCCTGCAGAGGTTTTTTACTGAATAACAGAAACAATAATTATTTTCCTATACATATGGGTGGATACTTGTCATGAATGGAATTTTATCATATCAGGACATTTTATGACAGCTATCAACAGGTTCTGGCTTAATGGAAGTCTATGTGGCGCTACCACTGTAGGAGCTGCTGTTAAGATAGGTCCTCTGTTCTTTGACTTGACTTCCATAAAAACTTCAGCTCCTCTGACACACTAGGTTGGGTATACAAAGCATGCAATGTAATACCAGGCAACCAGTAATAATACCATGTTCAAGAAAACATGCACTGAACCAGTTAGTAAAGGCAAACTTAATATTTAAAAAAAAAAAAAAACAGAAATCAAACCAATTAGCTCAGCACCTTGGAAATATATAAAACGAAAAGTAATAAAATCACCATGTGAACTGTGACTGCTGCATCTGCCAATATGTGCTGGCTAATGCACAAATAGCAGAAAAGAGATTCTAAATTCAGAACGTGCATGTCACTCCTGAAAAAAAACTGTGACCACATAACATTATAATGCATTCATTAAATATTATAACCCAAATCTAAAATAAAATCAACATCCAACCCAATAAACAGTCCAAATGTGATCATAGTGCTTGTGCTACTATGAACCTGAGACAGTGCTTCACTCCTAAGTGCCTATGGCTGGCCATACATTATACAATTTTCCTACAATTTTCTGTCCAATTTCTGCCCAATTTCCTTTAGTTTTACCTTCAACTTCATAGTGGAAGAGCCTGCCTAATTGGATACAATTGAAAGTGTTGTTTAGGTTTGACCTCATATTATAGGGTTTTTGGTAAATCTAAAGCAAAATTCTCAAGAAAATTGTATAATGTAGCCAGTGTGGTTCTTCGGACCTCAATATTGTCACTTGATGGGCTGCAGTTCTCTTACAACTTTCAACTGTTTGTCATTTGGAGAGACTGTTTCTCTTTTGGAACCAAATTCCTTTTTACACTTTTCCTCAGTTGTTCCACATTTTGCCTTATATATAGGCCTTATAGAAAATGTGCTATTCAGCAAAAAATGTTAGTGCAGCAAACCTTTCATTTTTTTGTCTAAATTCTTGCATTTCTTTTTTTTTAAATCTAGTAAAAGGGAAAAG